TATTTTCCTACCCATCACACCGAGTGCCAATGCAATTCGTAACGACGCACCTCGCTTCTCGGGAATAGGGGTGGAAATCTGACGCGAGATGCATTCGACCTGCGTCTCGTCTATCGTTGGATATATTCCTCGAATATATTTACTCGAGTATAGTTTCCGAATTTCTGGTACTGCCATAGATATAATTAACGAAGTAGTCAATTTTCTGATGTATAACGGTGTAATGATTAACACGAGTATAATGAATCACAGTTGAGAGGAGCGCATATAGGGTGTCTCACTTATGACGAACATCGAAATTATTAGGTTGGTGCATATGAAATTTTAGATACATTGTGTTTCTTCAAACAATAATGTATTTAATCAAAATAATTTCTACACTATTCCATCCTCTTTTCCCAACGATTTATTTAGTTTCATTATTCCAAATTTATGAAAATCATTAGTCTTTGAACGAAAAAATTCTTTGAATGCTACATTCACCGTGTCTTCATTTCAGAATCATTTATTTGTCAAAAGATATTAAAAATTAAAACACTTTTATTAATTTTTTTTGTAAAATATTTCTCGATTTTTTAAATTTGTGTAAACAAATTACATTCCCGAAAAAGAAAATACGCATAAATTATAATTTCGATTTTTACCAGTATATCTACGGTTCCTCTTCGTTCATTTCCAATTAAAAAGTCGCCAATCTTGAATTTTGCACACCTTCTAACTTACGGCGAATCTTTAAATTGAATTTTCTCGGAAACTAGGCTTCCTATGAAAAAATGTTATCCTTTATTTTCACTTCACTTTTACACGTGTAATCACCTGTGCCCACTTATACCACCCTTCCTGCCGCCTCACCTTTCTACATACAAACTTATAGTTTCGAGAATTCCCGGATATAGCAGTTGCACCTCAGCATCGATATCGCACGCGTACTTTGAACTTCCACCTAGCTACTCCAATCCCGATAGAGCTTACCAGTGATGGGTGGCTCAGGATCGAACCTAGAACCCTCTTCCGTTCGCCTTCACCTTCGAGGAAGATTGAGGAATTTTGCTCGTAAACGTGTTTCGTTCGAAAATCCTGGTTCCACCCCCGCCGCCCTTCAGAATCCTTTCTTTACTCCAAAAAATCCCGTGGGATGAACACGAGAAAGAATGAGAATCTCTGTGGGTTGTTTCTCGATGGAGATTTATCTTCTTTTCTTTTCTTTTTAGTTACATTAAACTACGTTTCCCCGCGTTGAATCAGAGAAAAGAAAAAATGGGGAGGGATATGGAAGATCACAGGTTACGATTCGACCCTGTCCCATTCCTCATCCCCATCGTGGAGTCATCCAGCAACGATAGCAATGCACGGAGCTGCGCGTGCAATTTCTACCGGACCGTTTCACGTTGGATACATGGGCGCAACTGCAATCCGCAATCGCGAAGGAATCCCCGGGAAGGAATTAAAGCTGACACGAAGAGCTCTCAAAATATCTACTAGCACAACGACAACCGATGTGTCCGTGTGGCCACAAATAAACGCATACGCGCGCCTTGTTCCACGTAATCTGCATGAAATTACGGAATGACGCGTAATTAGAGCGCGGCCATTAAAGCTACGCTAGGACGGGGGCTAAGGCCAAGATTCGAGGGCAAAGGTCTTGAACGTCGGATACTTCGAGGAATGTTAACTAAACCCTTCGTTTCTTTTTTTCGCAATTTGAATAGCTCTGTAGTATGAGTGTGTGTGAGAGAGAGACTCGTCCGATTTTGATTGTCAAGATTGTCCGCATTTGCCGCCGATCGAATCGTGATCGCTTATTATACAAGATGACAAGGAAATAGGTAGTGAGACCTTTGGTAACTGAAGGGATTTAGGAAACTGTTAGAGAGGATCGGCGGAAAAGGAAAAAAGGGGTTGGAGGGCATTTCTCCGTCCTGGGCCTCCTAGTGTCAAATAAGGCTACCCTCTAGGAGAGACCCGTGCCCTTAGACACACAGGAGTGAGGAGGGACTGGAAGTACTTTTTTTTTTATATTACAATTTCCGCCTGAGAATTCCCTACTTATGCTCTAAAACATTAACAGTTGACATTAGATTACATTAATATAGGTGATTGGTGTTAAAAATATCATGCATGAAATATTTGTGTGCAAGAAAACTTTCAAAAAATCTGCAAAGTGATATAGACGGACTGGAAGAATTCAGGTCAGAAGTTGTATATATATAAATAGGAGCCTTTATGAGGACTAGCGAGAACTTGTGGTTAATCCGTCCCTCTGGTGGCAGAGTGTAGGAGGGTCGCTACAGTACCTTATTCTACTGTTCCCAAGGATGAAAACAGATCGTTTGGGGAATGTTTGAAACCTGCCTAAAGAAATTGCTGAAAACAATTTCCTTCTGCAATAATACATGCTTCATATCGACATTTCAAACAC